TCAATGGATTTATTTTAATGCAATTTAAATGAGATCATTCTTTTACTTCAGACGAGAATCTATTCATACAAGAACAATCCTATTCAGAAACTAGTGGAATAGAAATTGTCAAATCATGGGCATATTTAGTGAAATTGGCTTCGGAAGAATAGGGAAGGTCATAAGAAAAGAAAAAAGAAATGAAGAGAATACAGAACCTTGAGGCACGTCATTTTACGTTAGCAATGAAGTGGGGTGCTTTCCGCTCAAAGGATTGTGTTGTTTTCTAGGCGAAAAATAAATGTACGGCCACTCTGTTATTCTGCATTCAGTGCGTGTTGACATCAGCCTACTTAGTAAGTACTCCAAGAATATAGTCAAAGTTAGCAGTGTATTCGAAACGCTTTTGCGTAACTTATCGTATATCTTCGGTTAAATACAAGTAATACAATAGTCACAATTCAGCGATGGAGCTCTCCTTCGTGCCTCGTATAGATCATGACCATTTATGGAAATCCATTCTAAGGTTGTGTCCAGACGAGTCATGAATTTGACAAGGTTGACATGACCAGTTGATATGAGAAAGCCGTGGGTGGGTGAATTAAGGTCCCTACAGACTTTGGACACGGAATTTCCAAAATAAGGGACAGAAAGCCCAGTAAATTCGTCTGCGAAGATAGATATAGCAGCGGAACTACAGTGCAGAGCTATATAAGCAATTGTTATGAATATATAGTAGGATTCACTTGAATTCTTCGGATGACATCTAACAGTGGTACAGCCTATATCGTCACTGGAAAATTGAAAACAAGCAAGATTAATAGTTATAACTTATGTTTTGTATAGATGGGCATTAAAAGTGGCTACCCGGGCGTTAAACTGTGTGTCCTGAAGGAAAACGCCATATCCACCTAATGAAATCAGGTTATCGTCATAATACTAGTGGAGATAAGTCTGTCATATGGCTAAAACACCAGCGTTCCGATAGGTGTATTGGGCCGGAGATAATCCACTTTGTAAGTCAGAAATCTGCAGGTAGTAGTAAACAACTGGATATGTTAATAGATTTGCACACCAGAAGGCACACCTCCAACCACAGTGACGTGGATTAGACGTTACTTGAGGACGACTACACATGATAGGCAAAAATGATTCAAAAAGCATACTATAGAAAATTATTATATTCAAAGACATTTTGTGAATCAATTCCCGACAGAGACGCGTCAAGATCGCATATTATCTTGTTGACGACGCTAGTCACGTCATCAGTGTCTGAGTGGTAGTCGCTCCTCTCCTGTGACAGAGGACCTTTGCAGTCCAGGAGCTTTGAAGCTCCACTGACAGTGGCAGTGGCTTACGTATTACGAAAATTGGTCACACTACAGAAGTCATCGCACAGCCAATTCGCCAGAGGCTTGCAGCAGCGCCAACATGCTACGGAAGTTAGGTTTGTGCATATGCTGTGAAACCATCTCCTACAGGTGTCATACTGCATGCCTTCTTCAACTGGGAATTGACGCGTTACTCTTAAGCAGAAGTTCCTTTTGATAGGCGTACATTTAAGAGTAAATTGGGACTAAAAGATTCAAATATGACCTTATATATATAAACTTCATATTAATCAGTGATATAAAGAGATCAATGGGTGTACAAAAATTGATATACAATAACTATAAAGTTATAAAAGCACATTTCCTATAAGTAAATGGACTCAAAACCAGAAGTAAATTAACTCCGATCAGAATAAACTGGTTTAAAGTTAACCTATAGGCTTCTGGAGCGCATAATACAACTAAAGCCGAAACAAGAGCGTGTAAATTTTGCCCCCTTCCCGAGTTCGCGGTAGCGAACAATACTATCTGGAGACATTTTTTGACTGTTTAAAACGAAAATACAGGAGAAAACTGGGGCAGAATGTGAGTTGATGGAAAATGTTGTTTTTAGTATCTCAAAATTCCAGAGGACTGCCGTATGTATAGTAAGAATTTGACTTAGGTGTAAGTGGTATCGAAATTCAGACAGATTATTGCGAGATTTGACGTTCAGCTGACAATACACCAGAGTCACTTATACACCGTGAGGTTAATTGTATGGTTCACTGTTGGTTGCCACAATAAAGTCTATAAACTAACGAGAATACAATGCACACTTACATATCTGATCGTGTGTCTTCAATCTTTCGTCAACCAGAAAGCTGCAGGGCCTAATTAGGACCAACTCCTAACACAGAGGGAACTAATTCGAACAAACAAGGCTACAATATACCAGTTGAATTTTCAAATACCTTTTCAGTTACTACTTTGTTAGATACGCTATTCAACTAGAGATAATTTCGAAACGTCTTCTGAAACACACAGTAATCAGCATAGAAGGGACAAAAGTGGACCTTTGGTGTTGTTAGACCAAGTGCCGTAGTCGTGGTTTATGGACTTTTGTATTGGTAAATCGTGAATCTAGTCTAGTCCTGACATTATAAATGGATACGTAACACAGCTACCTGAGGCCTTCAGGTGAAGTCACAGAAGATGTTCGACTAGTGCCTAGGTAGCTGGATGAGTAAAAAACATAGGCATGCACTTAGGTCTTTCGCAAGGCCGCATCAGCGCTTCGATAAAGATGTCAGTCACTTAGAGATTATTCACTTATTCGTAATATTATTTTTATTTGGCTGGAATTCGTGCCCTATAAAAGCAGGGCGAACAAGCCATACATTTGTACTCCTACCTGATGAAGAAGTACGACTGAATAGATAGTTCTCCAAAATAATTATTGCCGCAGATTATTCACCACAGATGCACTTTTAGGAGGGCAAAACTGAAATTTCTTGTGTTGCCTACTGAGAGTTAATCGTCGAAGAAATGTGGAGATAAAATTTTTTCTCTCCTTGAGTACACCCGATAGGAAACTCATTGGTGATCTACATAAATATTCGTGCATCATATGAAGGTTCTAAAGAGTGTACAAAGGTTTATGGGGTGAGCTTTGTACATTGGAAGCTGGATTACGCGGCAAACGTAAGACTGGCGTTGCATGAGTAAGTCAACGGTTTCGTCCTTTAAAATGGCACGTAAAGTAGGTTTTACTTGTTTGTAATGATTCCTTTGCAACAAACAGACGCTTTCATATTAGTAGAAGAGAAAATATGCATTGTACAGCTTCATGGGAACAACAGAGGTTATTTCTCTGTCCAATTGGAATTCAGGCTCCTTTGCAGTTCTTAGGTGAATTCACCTATTAATTGTCATTTGCCCAAACATTATCCCTCAAATATCATCCTTGTGTCTTCATTGTGGCAGTATATGGTCGGACATTCATTGCAAACTTCACAGATTTCACTGACTTCCTCGAAAATTTTAATTTTCATGACGGAATTACGAGTCATTTGAAAAAGAGAAATCACAGCTTTTCTCAGTAATTTATTCGGGAATAACATCAACATCTGGCGTGTGACTCATTTGTTTCCAGGATTTAAATTTCCTCAGACATGCTATTAGGTAATCGTTTATACTCACTGAAATGATTGATTCTCTTTAATTATCTTCTGCTGGTTGATTGATGTGAGTATTTCTGATAGGTAAAGTAACGTTTCTTTGAAGAAACCATCTTTTTCACCAGTTTGTTCATTTCTCTTAGGCTGCCTCCCTGAATTTCTGACTAAGTCGTAATGTTAATATTTTCCGAATGCATTTGCTTGTTTCATATTTCTCTGGCATTAGTATTGTTGTTGTTGTTATGGTCTAACTAATTCGTACGCAGTGAAACAGTAACAGGAAAAAATATAAGGAATTGCGTTAGAAAATGTGTTTTGGTGTGACAAGTTCACACTTTAAATATTTTGCATAACACTATTCTGGTATCGGTTAGAAAAGAGCGTTGCGTTGACCCAAAAATAACATACAGAAGGAGAAATAGTGTGTTCAAATATGCCTGACCTGCAGTATTTAAATATCAACATTACTTGACTTTAGGATACTTGACTTTACACCCAGTCTGCTTTAGAGAAATTAATATAGACTGTTGATGGTCGGCAGCCAGTGGTTATCAAATGTCATTCTAACTTTGTAGTTAGCTTTTGACTTTTCAAGGCAGAGAAAATGGTCCCAACGGGTCGTAAGCATAAATAAAAACGGAAGTCACGCATGCATAAGCCGGCTAAAAGTCTTCACGACACCCGCCAACAATGGTTTACTAAGTAAGCCGAACATATGTGATAGGCACCCGGATTTGGTAATACCTGTTAAATAACTGTCTGCTTAACAGTTATAAAGGTTTCATTCTACACGGTATCTTTTCACGTAAGCTACCTGGTACGATGGAAGGTGGATAGACTTTTCTCTTCCTCTCGAAATGCTCTCATGCCTCTACGTGTTCATAGCCTCTCCCAGTTAAGCCCTATTCACCGTCTTTGTGTGGCGCGGATGCTTTTCACGGAAGTGAAAGGGTGAATACAAACGTCTGGCGCTTATGTTCGGATCAGTGAACTTGGTGGTCTATCTAGAAGAGCTGAGAAATCATGATTCCAGACGTATGGTAAGATCCACAGGATCCAGAATCCAAAATGATTGAATGGCGTATGAAACTGTTCTGGACACTGATGTCCATGGGAACATAGTTCCTAATGCTGCTCTTCTCTGGCTTGTGGATTGGACTTCAAGTTAAAGGGTGTTTTAAAGTATTTTGGTCAAACTAATTCCTCTGTAATTATCACTGAAGAGCCTTTCTTGAAGATTGGGATCACTTTGATTTAAATCAGCCTTGTATTACTTCCATATCTCAGCTGAAACCTCAGTTTACCTTATGATTGACATTTCATACTGAAAAATCTCTTTTGGCATATATTTTAACGTGTTCTGTAGCCTTTGGTAGGCATACCTTTTAATCCGATTGAGGGAAAGGGAATGGAGGATAACAAATAAATTTGTTTCCTCACTGAGGGTTTTTCTTTTGTCTATTATTTTTCTACTAAGTTTTATACCGTGTATTTTTAAATTTTGATTCAGGTGTTCCTTTAATCCCACTCAATGGAAGCTGATCCAGCTATTGTTTTAGAATGGTTGGACGCTGCAAACGATGATCTCAGAGAGTTGCAGTTAACAGCACTGGAACAACTATGCAACGAAGTCCTCTTCTCTGACAATATTGATGTCTTCTTTGAGCGTTATCCACCACGTCTTTTTATACCTGCTTTGTGTAAAATATTTTTGGATGAATTGGCTCCAGACTCGGTTTTGGAAGCGAATGCTCGTGCCCTCACGTATTATTTAGATGTCAGTTTAGACTGTGCTCCACGAATTGCACGTTCACCGAATGTATTGACAGCAATGACTTCCAGATTGGATGCAGTTGATATGACATCGGCGAAAAGTAATGAACTTGGACAGCAGATTATAAAAGTAAGATTTTCTGTTAGCATTTTGGTGTGACTTGAGTCAATTTACTTGAATCATGAGGCAGATGGGGACTCCTGTAAGGTTGGAAATGGGATGCGTTGTGATGTCTAGTTTGAAACACCAGATCGATCTAGGCAATCAGCTCTCAGTCAGTGAGTTACAGTCCCGAACTGCAAACCGTTTGCTCAGGTAGTATTGCTGTGACCCATCAAACTCGTGTAGCTAATTGCTGTATTGAAATGCAAGTGCTTCCGGGGTCTGAGACTACATTAATGGTTCATAAAGCCACTCTAACAGTTTGTGTATCTGTTTATTTGGAGTTTTGCTTGGTTTATCCTGAGTAATAGAAGTCTTCGGACACTCGCTGACTAAAAATGGAAGTTAGAATCACTGACTAACCGAGTTAATTGCATATTATTAAGTGAAAATACTCCCAAAGGTCAGCAGGGATTGCATTTTAAATAACAAGATTTACTTATTTATAAATAAACAGAGTCACTACTAAATGACCACTGTCCTGCTATAATGGAATTTATCATAGGATAACCTGATTATTTAGGGGTATATCTGAATCATCATGTCTAATAGTATTGTCTCAGGCTTCTATCAACAGCTGTCTACATATTAAAGATCAAATGGCCAGAAATAGTTAACAATAAGAAACTGTGGGAACAAACTGATCAGAAACCTATAGTTGGGTTGGGCTCACACTGAAGAGACCGCTGAGTGACATTGCGCGCCAGGCCATCACTTGAGTGGAACCTGAATGGGAAACGACGAGTGGGTCGTCGCATTTTGAGGGTGGCATGGAGGAGATCGTGTGAGAAGGATGTGAGAGACTGACAATCGTGGGTCCAGCTAAAGAGGAGAGCAGAAAATAGAACAAAGTGTAGACTTACTGTTGGAGCCCTATGTTCCACCCGGAACCCATGGGATCAGTAATAAAATAATAGTAATAGTCTTATCTAACACGTTGTTCCTAGTTACCTGTAGTTAAATGTTAAGAAGATAAATGAGAAGGGGAAATTCTGCCACCAACAGACCAGTAAAAATATAGTGAAATATTTACTGCTGGCTGATAAAGCTCCATGTCCATTATGAATACAAAATAAGAAATTCTAAGAAAATTACTAAAGCCATTCGATATCATCTTTTCAGATTAATTGCATTTAAAGAATGGGAAGATACTTTTATTATCCGCTTACTATATGAACTGTAAATCCATGCAAGCTAACATAGTCTGTTCTCTGATTTCCAGTAGGGTTTTAGATGCGTATTCATAGAATCCTTTTTTGGTATACTTAGATGACAATTTAAGAGGTCATGTAAATTTTCTGACGTGGAGAAACTATCGCTGACTTATGCACTCCTTTTTGTGTAGTGAAATTAAATGCTGTCTGGTGGCTTAAGAAATTATATTGTTAACTTTTTGGAGCAACCTGTGTATGACAATAATCCAAAGTTTATAAGTTTGAACTGCTCTCACTGAATACTAAAGATCAGATCACTGGCTAGAAAGAATTAGAAACACGAAGCTCTAGGAACGAACCAATGAAGAAACTGTTGGCCAACGAATATGGTGAAGAAAATAGAGATGGTTTAGATACAGGTGGTAAAGACCGTTGGGCGTCGTCGCGCCTCAATCCCTTGACTGGGTCCTGAATGGGGGACGATGAGTTGGATATGGATCTGAGGGTGACATGGATGAGGTCTCGTGAGGAGGAGATGAGAGCTTAAGGTCAGTCATGGTGCCAGCTAAAGAGAACTGCAGAAAACAGGGTGAAATGGAGGTGTTCTGTTGAAGCCCTATGTTGCACTCGTAACTCAAGGGAACTGTGATAATGATCAGTTTGAAAAATCTGGTGTAGCGTGACTTCACTGACATTTTTGAGACTTGAAAGTGTCTTTTTATCATTATAAATATGTCTGCCTGTGGGATGGTTTTGTTTAAAATTTAATCACTAAGTCTTAAATATTTTTGTCTTATCAAACATTTATAATTTTTTTTTAAGATGTTGCAGCTTATTTGTACACGAGAACCTGGAGCTGTATACACGGCCGGAGGATTGACTTCTGTATTGCGTTACATACGTTTGTATCCACATCTGCTTCACGCTGATGTCCTTCAGGCTGGAATGGATATCATTAGACGTTTATTTACTAGGGCTGATCCAACAGATAAGAATTTAACCAGCTGGATTGATTCGTTGAGTTCACTTCTAGATCGTCGAGAAATAGGCGTGGCTGATCAAGCACTACGTGCATTCGCTAATTTGGTTGCTCGATTTACTCGAACAGGCACAGATCCTACTCCACTTGCCGATCCGCATATTATTGATTGTCTTCTTCAACGACTTCGTGTTGCTGGTGGTGTAGAAGCTGATAGTGAAGTGACGACGGATCCTTCTGGTTCTAGTGAGTGAACTTGTAGTCTGATTTATATTGATAATATTGTTCATTGTGAATATGAAACTAAATTAAGTGAAAATATTAACAATTTTTTTTTCCTTCACGTTCCCCAGTGTAACATAGGGCTTCAAGCTAGTGGCTTAAAGTTTGTGTAGCAGTGTTTATTTTACAGGATAGGGTTCCTAGCCTCATGCCCAACCTTTCCTCTTCACCAGCATTATTTCTGGCTTAGTGAGGTTTATGAGTGCGTCGGCCGGGGGTCAAACCCCGGACCATGTGCATGGTCGGAGAGCATCCTAACCACTATGCCACCGATGCACTTGAAAATATTAACAACAATGTAATAATGAAAAATACAAGAAAAAAGTGGTCCGTTCATATAGTGTTCCTCAGAAAATTAGTAGTGTCATGCCTTACAAATCTCTCATCACATACAATGTGTGCCTGTCAAATAAGGTATATTGTACAGTTTTTATACTTCTACACCCCGTCTATAGTTGCTTCTAGTCCTACCTGATGGGACAGATGCTGGGAGAGGGTTGTGTCTTGGGTGGATCCTTAGGGTCCAGCAAGATAATACTGGCTAGTGTCTTGCATGAGTCCATGTATCTACCTGCAACAGTATTAACAAGTTGGTTAAAGTGATACTCCACTCGCCCTACTGACGACAGCTTCTAGTGCCCTTCTCAGTGTAACAGAGTCTTTCTTAAGTAGTTCAGAAAAGATTAACGGGGAGCAGTAAAGGGGGATAGGCAGAATACAAGAATTAACAAACTGTAAAAGTAGAGACTAAGTGATACCAGATTGTCTTAGCTTCCTTACTTAGAATGCTAAACGAAATATCTTTCTAGAAACTAACATGATGTGGGATTTAACATTCGACTCAGTTTCAACTTAGGTGCCATCTGTGATAGTGGAACCAGTTCACGTAAGTCACGCTTGCGTCTGAAAGTGAAACTAACAACCTCTTATCAATTAACAGTTTAAATATGGAGGTTAGTGTATATTTGTTCAAGATGTTTCACACTTGACTCTTTTTGAGTCTAAACAGCTACACACATATGCCTATAACTCTATGAATCATGAAGTTCTTTAGTGTTGTCATATATCCCCTTACCGTTTGTAATTGTTCAGTTGATCTGTGCTTTCAGAGCTTCCCTTTATTGTTGGAGAATACTCCTTTCCACTAATGGGTTCCTTTTGTGGTGTTCCATAATAAAACTTTTCTAATAAGAAGGAACCAAATTTAGGTTAGGTTTGTAATGGACTTGACACGCTTTTATTAAATAGTCTGAGGTTAGTTACGTTTCTCTTTTGTCTACTATCGTCATTTATTCTTTTCAAAAGATATGAATTGGTTGATGGTTTTATTTTTATCCTTTCCATTATAGATCAACCAGCAGATACATCTGGAGGTGGTCGTGATGGTCTTTCAGTTCCATCTGAAAGCAATCCAGTTGTAGTTCATGCAGTGACCAGTATACTGACTTCGCTTTGTTGCAATTCTTTGAGTATAACACGTAAACTCTTAACTAACGACGGCCAGTTTGCTATGACATTGGCTATGGTTGTTCAACGTAGCACTGATGAATTAGTTGTTATCAGTGTTCTACGACTAATAGAAATTCTCTTGGTATTACTCTATCAAAATCATCATCAACATCAGCAGCAACATCTTCAACCAAAATTGAATGATTCCTCACAGAAGACAGAAGAGATGAGTGAATCTACTTCAGTAGAAACTGCTAAACATGATATTTCCAAAAAAGAACCCTTAGAAGGTCAATCGTCCAAACAGACTGAGTTTAAAACCTCTGTATCGATTCTTGAGCATGCTGAAAATTCACAGTGTTGTATTGAACAACCTGAACGCGCAAGTGATAGTAGTGCACTGGAATCTCAACATTCTTGGGAAGGAGATGCTGTTCATCGTCATTTTATCGAGGCTATAAAACGACAAGACATTGGTATGATAAAAATGGTTTTGCAATGGCGAATTTGATGACCTTACAGTGTTTTTTGTTGATTGTTGTTGTTGTTGTGGATTTGATAATGTTTGTGGTTAAAGTGGTACTGTGTCATGCACGTATTAATGTTGTTTTGATTCATTTTAATAAACGAGGCAATCTCACTTGCACACTAAGAGGCTGTATCAATCATAATCGTGTATTAGGCTGTTGTGCCTAAGATTTCATCTCGATCTATCCTGTGTGTGTGTATTGCTACCTAATGTTTTAAAGTACGGACTGCGTCGTATATACAGACGCGCCTGTATTGTTTACCTGTGTTCCTACACAGCAGATAAATTAACAGATTAAAATGTGCGGGTTAGTGAAACGACATAGTAATTTCAGGCAACATGCATTTGTGTTTGTTTTTGTCAACCCTTAGCTTAAAGACAGAGGGGAGTGAGTAAAGTGGAAGTGTGTTGATCATTTCACTTATTTGTGAAGTAACATCAGCCTCAATGGGTGGCTGGTCGATGACAAAATCTCAAAACAGATACCAAAGGCTCCCGTGGGATTTCCCAACTTACACCATCTCTGATGTAGACGTGATAATCACCCGGCTATCCATCAAATGAAGTGTGTACTGCCCACCTCTTATCTCTTCCCTCCTTTATGGCTGTGATGCATGACCACTGGAAGTGGGAGCAATGAAAAGACTATTTGCTTTTGGTCATAGATATCTGAGCTCTATCTCCCATGTTATGTGGTATAATACAGTGAGTAGTATTGAGGTTGGATGTCGAGTGTTAAGTAAGAAGGGTAAGTCAATCGATGAGGTTGTGAAGGTGAATCGACTGAGATGGTTAGGACATTTGTTACCTACTCTTAGTCGTCGCCTTCCTCGACAGGAGACATAGGAAAGAATCTATTGATGGTCAGACGAAAACATGCAATCAGTCCATGAAATTTTTGACAGTTAGTTTGAACCAGTCACGTAGGGGGAGGTGTAGACTACCTGCATCAGGTCTTCAGGATTATAAGAATCAATGGCTGGAGACAATTGGTGATATGGCCAGAAATCGTTCTCAATGGTGCAGATCTGTGATCTCCCATATCCATATTGTTTTTCCATGTTACTATTCTTTCTCCCTCATATTTCTGCTTATATATATATATATATAATTCCTTTACATTCTCAGTGGAACATAGGGTTTCAAGCTACAGGCTTGAAGTTTCTGTAGCAGTGGTGATTATTTTTACAGGATGGGGTTACTAGCCTCACGCCCAACCTTCCCTCTTTACCAGTCTTATTGCCGGCTCACCGAGGTTTATGAGTGCATCGGCCGGGGATCGAAACCCCGGACCACCTGCGTGGTTGACGAGCACTCTGCCGATGTGTCAGCGACGCTTCGGCTTATATAAACGATAATATTATCATTATTCCTTCCATTTCTTTCCTTTGTGTGTAGCACATGGAGTGTGGCTGCATGCATAAAAAGATGTTTTTTATTTTCACATTCGTAGTTATGTGTAATTTTTGTTTTTGATGATTTCCCAGATTTCATGAAGTGCAGTTTAAAGTCTGGAAAAATTGATGTGAATTACATGGATCATTTGGGTCAAACACTATTGAACTGGGCGGCATCATTTGGATCACCAGCTATGGTTGAACTTTTATGTGCTCATGGTGCAAATGTCAATTTAGGCGTCCGTAGTCCTTTAGACTATGCTGCTTCATTTGGACGTGTTGATGTATGCCGAACATTGCTTAATTGGGGTGCTGATATAAACAAACGAGATGCACAAGGTAGAAGACCTATAGATCGAGCACGTGAACATCCAGATTTTCCGGGTTCACATCAAGTTATTGATATGTTGGAGTCAGAGGCGAAAAGTGAGCTTATTTTAACTGATTCCCTATCATTGTTTTTGGTAGTATGCATGTACCTGCTAGTTGGTTAAATAAAACCAAGGAGTTTTGCTAACCACTCTGTAACTGACGAGAATTCAGTTATCCGGTGTCGGGCTATGAGCTGGGTTCTGGTGATACTAGCCAGTTGCCCAGGCTGAAGTCAATGAGCCACATCTCCATTAACCACCTTGTAGAAAAGGATAATTTCTCTTATATTAAGGCTGGCTGAACTCGTGACCCAGCTACTTGGGCTTTTATTGTTTATGTCTATGGATAGCAGCAGAGTGTATACTGCTCATGTATTAAGGTTAATTTCCTATGTGCTTCAGATAACCCATATTGAATTCTGAACTTTTCATGCTGTGTGAAACACCCCGTTTCTATCTCCATGTAACTTTGTTGTGTACCCTGTGAGATGGTGTTGTGGCGAGTGCTACTGACAAGATTTATCAGTAGTATGTAAACAGACGTTCATTGGCATAAAAAGCATCAAATAGCAGAGAGATACATTTGATTTCAGAGAAGGCGAACGATACAGTGTGTGGAGAAGCACAATATGAAGTCCAGAAGTACCACAACACGAAGATCTGTGCAAATGGTGCGTTGAAGATAAGTTGTGCATAATTTGGCTATATAGAGATACCAATTTCCAAAAAACAACATTCCTTTACCATGTCTTCGTCTTCTACTGTTTCAGTGTGTCACTGTATGGAATGGAACTCCGAACACCGTGTCTACTAGAACCCTTCAAAATATTGCTTTAATATAAAGTTCTGGTCACAAATATTGTTATTATAATTTTTCAGTTGCACAATTAGTCGGTTATTATTTTTTTACTACGAAATTAGTGGAAATAAAGGTCGACACTGTGTATTTATTTTACGTAAGCATCAGAATCGTAATAATTTTTGATGTCATCTTATGACGCATCTGGTATACAACACGAAGATTTATTTATTTCTAACCATCATAATATTAATAACCTCATGTGATTCGTATTAACGAATTCTAGGATGTTTATGTTTTTACTTTTTATGTCAGAAACCATATGCATAACCGTGTATATGATAACCAGTAGCATTTTGACTACACCAGTTATCGGCCATTAGCCAACTAGGTGTGATTCAGTTCGATTTGTATTCTTAGCTCTCTAATTTTCTGGTTAGCCAAGCACTATTACTGGTTGATATGGGGTGGCGGGGGGAGGGTGTGTGCATCCAACTACTCATCTCAGTCAATCACAGATTGTGATCTGAATAATTTCGGTCGCCAAAGGATACTGTGGTGATAATTTCACACCTTGAATTTGTATGGTTTGCAAATTGTGAATGAGATTTATAGTACCGTGAGTTTGTCCAATTAGCTGGCGCGGAATCGCGGGTGTGGTTTGAACTGATTCAGCTCTCTGAGTTGAGTCAAACTGGGTACACCTCCGATGCGATCGGTCCCAAACGAGAGATCACCGTGATCTGGCTAGTTAGCAGGCACTGCTAGTTGATATATGTGGTATGCGACTACTCATCACAATCAATCAGTAGTATATAGTTCCATGCAAATCTTTAATTTTGTTATCTCATATTATCGTACACTTGACTTGTTTATGTTATACTATTAGCTTTTTGGATTTTGTAAAGCAAACTTTTTTGATGTCCCTTGTTTCTATTCGCAATACTGGAAGTGTATATATTTAAGCTCGACAGAAAATACCAGCACTCGTAGTAATAATGTCAGCGAAGTGTAGGAAGTAGACAGAGGAGAGAGAATAATTCGTATGTATTTTAAATGTACTCCAATTAAGTAGTGGTACACATACTGTAAAAAAGTTAGTGAGCAACAATGTAGAATGTTTCCCTATATTGTAATATGGTGAGAGCTGTCTGCAAGCCAAAATTGTAGACAACAGTTTACGTCAATGTTTACGTCCCAAGTCGGGATCATGAGAAAAAACAATAACAAAGCTAAACCTTGGGGTGGTGAGAGATGGTTGCTAGCCAAATTGGTTGACAGTAATTGAGGTCAATGTTTATGTCCCAAATATTAGTCATGTTGTGGTGAGGGATGGTTGCTAGCCAAATTGGTTGACAGTAATTGAGGTCAATGTTAGTCATGTGAAAACAAGGTCAAGATGGACAGGCGGATACAGTTAACATATAGATGAACTGACACAGCCACAAGAGATGCAAGGTTAACTTTGTGTGAGAAACAACCAATCAACAGACTGTATTTTCTACTAACATTAGCCTACAATAATGTACATCAAAATCTATAAATATGTGTTGATTTTCCGTAATAAACGTTCTGTTGCCTGGCCCTTGTCTTCTGTTGTTACATTGGGAAGCTCACCAACTTATCACAGCAGAATTAACGTGAGCAAATACAATTCGCAGATATATGGCCTGACTATCTAAGAAACGACCACACAGAGATGACAGAATAACCTTCAGCAAGAAAACAACCAATCAGAAGAGGTTGCTTATCTGCTAACAATAATGCTAATAATAATGTACATAAAAATCTATAAATATCTCTTGATTTTCTGAATAAATGATCTGTTGCCTGACCGTTGTCTTCTGTCGTTACAATAATACCTTTTAAGTGTTGTCAAAGCAGGAATCAGAAAGTCAAGACAGATCTTTATCACTCTGAAATCACTGTGGAAACCTTCTACACTCAACATAAAGAATAAATTTAAGATTTCCAACACTAAAGTTAAGTCAATCAGTTCTTCTATGTCGGTCAGGAACATCGCTTGAGCGTAACGAAAAGTGTTTCGAACAAGGGGGCTTCAGACTATTATCAACAGTTGCCACCTTTGCTAGATTCATACTGAAGATCACATGGCTAGCCAGAAAGAATTACCAATATGAAATTCTGGGATTGAAGCAATCAAGAACCTGTTGTTCTGCAAATGTCCCGAAAAGAATGGAGATGGGTGAGACACACACGCGCTAAAGAGGCCCTCGAATTACATCCAGCTCAGAGTAGGCCATCGCTAGAGTGGAACCCGAATGGGAAGGTGGTGGAAGGTGTTGACATGGAGGAGATCATTTGAGGAGATGAAAACTGATAGGTCAGCTAAAGAGGACTACAGAGAACAGGACGAGGTGGAGATGTTCTGTTGAATGTTCCATTCGGAACCCCAGGGAATAGTAACATGAAAAAAATAGATGTTGTCATTTTCCTGAATCAATTTTATACATAGCTTAACTGAGGGTGATATCTTAAATGGAGATGATTCGTTTACGTGAGAAAGATTAAGGTTAGGGAATTACAAAAGTGTATATTTTTAGTCGTAATTTGTATCTATGCCTAAAACACATTCCAATCAGTTTTTTTAGAATATCATGTTTCACTTTCACTTTTTTGTTTGATTCCAGGAGTCAGTTTAAGAGGTTTATCATCAAACTTAGATAAACCAGATAAACAAACAGATGGTTCCTCTTCCATCTCCTCCTCCTCCGCATCACCTTCACTGGATAGTAATAAGCATGGTGCTGATAACCGAGATAACGATGATCCTGCTGAAGCTCAACGTTTATTTGTTCATCAACTGCTTCCCTTGTTAGTTGGACTCTTTCGAGAAAGTACATCGTCATCTGTAAGGTAATGTATGATTTATTACTTATTTTTTTATTGTATTCCTTTGCGTCCTGAGTGGGGAACATAAAGCTTCAAGCTTGAGCTCTCAAGTCCCAGTAGCAGTGGTCTTTTATTTTTACGGTCTGAGGTTTCTAGCCTCACGCCCAACCTTTCCTCTTTACTGAGCAGCTTACTACTGGCTAAACAGGGTTTAGGAATGTGTCGACCGGGAATCGAACTCCAGACCACTTGGGGCGTGGTTGTCGACTATTCTACCACCGAACTATGAACTCCCCTTGTGACCGGAAGGCCTCGGGTTCGAACCCCGGCGGGTGCGTACTGATGAAGTGTCCCAAACTAGGACGAAACAGCTGTCCAGTGAGTTAATGCACTCACTTATTATTATTTTTTAGTCTTCTTTTCCACTGAATTCTATTCAGTTCTATTGTGTTTTAACCATTTTACATTAAAATGCTGGTGAATTTATGAAAAGGAGTTGTAGCTTGTGTAAAGTTGAAATCTTTCTCTCTGCGAGAATAAATTCTTGTGAAGTAGTTCTTACAGGTTCAATTAACTAAAGTGAAATCTGACTAGCATTATTAGATGATGGAGTTTATCTGAAAAGAAAATGGGATGTATGTTTTTGCGAAATACATTTATCACAATCTGACCACACACATACACTTGTCAAATGAATTTATATGGAAAATGAAAGGCAAGTTAAATTTAAAAAAAAATGATAATGGATTTAAGAATATGGAGGATAATAATTAACACACCTTTTGGTAATATAATAAGATAAAGGTGGCGTGGTAATGATAAGTTGCTTTTGTACACACACACACACACACACACACAGGATGGGCGTTAATGTATTGAGCAACTTTATTGCATTTTTTCAATTAAATTCTATCTTGTAATAACGCCATGCAAAAATGTATTAGAGGAACTAATTGTTTTAAAGTGAAAATCCTATAAATAGTCGTGCATATAAAATAGTCTTTCCGTTATATCTGCTGCGGACATACTGGACAGAACTATAACTAACCGACTGACTGGTTTCCCAATATAGAACTTTGTGTAGAAGTGCAGCAATTTCAGTTACCACACTCGATGTACCACACAAAGGAAGACAGAAGAGAAGAAAAGAGATTCGAAAGAACAGTTATAAGCAGATATGTAAGGGATATAGAATAATAACATGGAAAGACAATAGGATTTAATGGATATCCTAGTTTGGGAATCATCAGCATTACGCATCCACTGGGGTTCGAACCCAGGAATTTCCGGTTACAAGGCAAGCTCGTAGATCATCCAGCCCCTGGGACCCGATTCAATGGCCCATGAATTCTAACTTCTATCAATTCGTGATTTAGCGCGACCGCCAACCAATGTCATTGGCGGGAAATCCATCCTCACTCCCGACTGGATGAACCCCACTGGTCATGACTTCTCGGTAGAACTCCAGGAAACGCCGTCCTGTAGCAAGTCACTAGCGAGCATCAGATTAGTTTTCAAACTCGAAAAACAAAGCTAATCTTTACAGATCAGTTGTTGAAAATTTAGTGGATATGTCAAGTCACAAATAGTTAGCGCATCTGGGCCATTGTCTCCATCCACTGGTTCTTAGAATCCTAAGGTCCACAAACAGACAGCCTACACCTCCCTATGTGGCTCAAAGTAATTGTCAGCGATGACTAAGGGTGCGTAACACTTGTCCTAGCCATCTCAGTTGAATCATCCACATCGTTTGGTGGATAGCCGGATATCACATTTACGCCAGAGATGCACTTATTTGGGAAATCTTACACGAGCCTTTTATATTCATGCTGAGACTTCGTCAACAATTAGCTCTTTGGGGTTGATTTAACCTCCCAAATAAGTGAAGTGGTCAACACGCTGTACGACGTCATTCCCCTCTGTCTTTAAGCTAGGAGTCGATGCAGTCCAGTCCTGTAGAATCATCTTACAACTAACAGGAGCAAATTGAACACCCAACACTCGAACATTTCTGCTCAAGGTGTTCAGATGCCTCTACATTTTACCAGCGTCTTCGCCTAGGAAGACCATATCATCCTCATATTCTAAGTTGACAAGACTATTCCTTGGTAATAAGTCAATTCGCAAGTCTCTGAAGTCAGTTAGAGTCAATTCCATTGGTACATCTATGATGAAATTAAACAGATATGGGGATAGTGGCCGTTCGTGACTGACACCACTGGTTTCTTCGAACTCCCTTCACAGCCAAACATTGCCATAGTACATTTTGGTCGACAGAGTCAAATTTCGCCTTCAGTTAGAAAAATATGGACGCCGGTTAATATGCCGATTTTCCAGAATCTGTCGAAGGGTGAAGATATGATTAATACACTCTCTTCCTGGTCTAAAGCCTGCCTAATTTTCTGGTGTTTGTTCCTCCCGAGAACCGCTTAATTTATGCATGATTATTGAGCCTTGAATTCTAGATACCGTATAAGTCAAGCTATTCTCTCTGTGATTATTACAGGAAGACTTGTCACCCTTCTTGTATTCTGGGATTATCTATGGATTACACCGCCGAACTGTAGCTAATTGAAGATTATTCCTTTCGTTTTGTATTTATGTGTAATTGGCCAGTTTAATAACAGGTCTAAAAGACATTGTTACTTTTAAATAATTTTGTGTCCACTGCTTTCTTTTATGCATATAATCTTTACATAGACATCAATGTACACTTTTGGTTTGGCGTATGATTCACTATATGCACCCTGATCATCTGGAAGCGATCAGTTTAATGGAGAATCAGTCAGTTCCATTCGCTTTTTCATTAACACAAATGATATACACTGTACTAATTGAGGTGAGTTTCATGGTTTTCGCTGCTACTGATGTTGCTGTTTTGTTCACCATTTTCTGAATTCATTTATACATGAATATTGAGGATAATTATTTGAAACCTTATCATAATGTTCCATAAGCTTTTAAAGTATTTGTAGACACTGAATCCATTGTTGTTATTGTTGTCCCATATATGCCATGGCATCAAGAGACACTATCGAGTTCTATCATTTATATGGCAAGATAGATAATTATCAACCTGAAGAATTACTGACCTGAGGCCTAATACGCACTGTTGACTTTCCTGAAGTCTATCGGTGATGATGTGTTTCATTTCAAAAAATGATTAAAATCTCCTGGAATATTGCGTTTCTGTAGTTTATTTATTATTAATATTCCCTTGGGTTCCGAGTGCATCATACGGCTTCAACAGAACACTTCCACATTGTCCCGTTCTCCGCGATCCTCTTTAGCTGGGCCCACGATTGCTCATAGACTCCCATCTCCTCCTCAAAGTATCTCCTCCATGTCAGTCTCGGACAAATGCCCAACTGTGTCCTCAGCATGTGTCCGATCCGTCTCTATTTTCTTTGGAACATTTATTGAGAAATAAGTTCTTGATTGGTTTGTTCCCAGAGTGTCTTGTTACTAATGCTTCCTGGCCATATGATCTTCAACATGGAGATAGCGAAGGCAGCTATCGATGAAAGACTTTAGCGTGTTGAAAATGCTTTTCGTCACGCGTGTTCCAAGTTTCCAACCCGTACAGAAGAGCTGGTTGGCTTAACATTGGTGTTGAAAATCCGAATTTTTTTGTCTCTACTGAGTACAGTGCAGTAGATATTCAAACCTCCGTCTTCTCTATTTTCACATGAAGTCCTGTCTTTGATTCTTTTACTTCTTCCAACTTGTTGGTTTTCGCCATTCTGCTGTTAGAATTTGCCGACTACTCATGTAGTCCAGGTTCGATTCCCGATCGACCCTGACTCACTGACTGGCTGCCTTCAACGTAGAAGTCTGCACAGATGTTCAGCAGTTCGAGTTACCACACTCTTTGTAGCACATTAGACATAAATTATTTGCGAAGTCCAGATATATTCTAGGATCTTCTTATCCTTCCAACATATTCCTGTCTTTTCGCTTCTCACATACGGTGTGCTGCATAATACAGCCCACCACAATTATGAGAATCATCCGTGATAGTTGGCAGCCTTATATCTTACTCCTGTCTTCACTATGAAGTATTCCAATGGTCAAATATTCAGTGTCGACCAAAGTTGGGTTACATAACTGAAGAAACTGTCGAAGAGGACATCACTTATTAAACAGAAAGAAGAAGAAAAGAAATCTATTCAGACTTGTACTTTAATTTGAAGCGCTTTCAAGTGTAGCCTAGGTATGTCATCTTCAGCTGTCCTTTCTGACAAACAAGGAAGCAGTCTATGCCTACTTTTATTCCGTATAAAAATTCATAGCTTCTCATTTGTGGTGTATTTATACATGTTTGCGAAACGTCCATTTAGGAAGGGTTAGACTTCCTGACGGTAAAAACCAATGAAGGCTGGAGACAATCGGTGATATGGCTCAAAATTATCGTTCTCAATGACTCGCGCAGATGCATCCACTCCTTGTGACTTATAATTTTCAATGATGAAACTATATTGTTCTTCGTTATTACTATTCCTTTTGTCTCATATCCCTGTCTACTGTCTCTATTATGCATTTCTCCTCTTGCTTTGTGTGCTACGTAAGTGTGCCGACTTGAACTGCTGCACATCGGTGCAAAGTTCTATGTTGAAGACAGACAGACAGACTATTTAGGACCTGATACTGCGTAGTATAATGTAGGATTCCGGGGTTAACGTTCCCTAATTTGAGCAATAAGGATAGGGTGGTATTCAAGGAAACGTGAAAAAGTTCAATTTCGCGTCTTCAAGTTAACACCGACCAGTGCCAATCACCATCAACGGGAGGGATTTGAAAGAGGTTACTTCATTCACTTATCTAGGGAGCATTGTCTCAACCACAGGAGGAACGGACGAGGATGTCAAATCGAGAATCGGGAAGGCGAGAAACACATTCATCAACCTGAAACCAATCTGGAAATATTCGTCACTCAGCATCAACAACAAAATTCGGATTTTCAATACAAACGACGTCAAGTCAGTTTTGCTATACGGATCAGAAACTTGGCGGGTCACAAAGAATATTTCCAACAGCCTGTTGCAGACCTTTGTCAGCAAGTGTCTTCGCTGGCTCTATACTGAAGATAAGATGGCCGGAAAGAACAAGAACCAACAAGAAACTATGGGAACAAATAAAACAAGAACCAATCTCCCAACAAATATGCAGGAGAAAGTGGAGATGGATTGGACACTCGCTGAGGAGGCCGTTGGGTGACATCGCGCGTCAGGCCCTAGCTCGAGTGGAACCCGAAAGGGAAGCGGTGAGTGGGACGTCAGTGCAAGGGTGACATGGAGGAGATCGTGTGAAGAGGAGTTGAAACAGTATGGACTAACATGGATGGAGGTGAAGAGTACAGCAGAAGACAGAAGCAAGTGGAGACGTGTAGTTGAAGCCCTATGTTCCACTAGGAACCCAAGGGAACAATAATATAATATAATAATAAGTTAACATCACTCATATTTTATAACTGACAGAAGGTCATTTAGGCGCTCTGTATTCTTGTTTCCTCCTTCTCGAATATGTAAATGTAATGTTTTTTATTCTAACGTTATATGATTAATTTTCCATCAGACAGAAGACAGATTAACTAATGACTATTACTTTCTTTGTTACTATTATTATTATTTTTGGTTTGTTTTTCATTTCTTATAGGAAAGAGAAGAATTAATTCTACGTGCATTAGAATTATGCCTTCGTTTATTGCATAAATCTCCGTCTATCTATACTCTAGTCTTTTATCGACTAGGCTTAATGCCATTAATTCAAATATTAGTTGATATATTGCATCATTTAATTATTGAAAGTAAACCAACAACAATTGACCAACAACAGCACATTTCTGTAGCATCACCAGCATCCGATGAAAATAATGCCAAAGATATGTGTACAACTCCTGTGTCGTCTACTGTTAACACCACCACAACAACAACAGCTACTTCTGCTATCACTACCGCTTCTAGTACATCGTCACCATCTTCTGTTGCTGCCAGTGAAGAAACACCAACAACAACACCAGAAAAAGCGACAGTAGTAGTCGTAGGTGAGAGTCAATCACCATCAACAATAGTGGTGGATAAAAGCACTGAAGATCAGGAGGAGGAGGAGGCTGTTGGATCGAGTGGAGTAAATTTAACAGGAAATGATAATGATTTACATGAAATATTGTCAAAGGCAGTAACTGAACAACAACAACAACAACCACAACAAAAAGACGACAAACAATCGATATCACCACCACAGAATGCCATGTCGTCTACTACAGTAAGTTCTTTTTTTAGACAAATGGATGCTTGTTCCAAGTTTTGATCATAGTTTGATATCAGTTAGAGTACTGGAGAGAGCCGTTTCGTCTCAGTTTGGGACTCTTCGACAGTACATACTAACCTGGCTATAAGGCAAGCTCGTAGAACATTCAGCCAGTAGAACGCTATTCAATGGTGGATGAGTTTAAACTTCTACCAATTTGTGATTCTACTACGACCACCAACCAGTGTTGTTGGCGAGTATTTGTCCTGACTCCTGACCTGCTGTATCCCACTGGTCACACTTTCTCACTAGAACTCCAGTCAACTTTGTCTTGTAGTCAGTAGTCACTAGCGAAACACCAGATTGATTCTCAAGAATCAGTTTGTAGGGATTTGATTTGTTCCAACTTGGATGACGGACCGATATCAGATCAAGGGAATCATTGGAAACTACCAGGGAGTCCTGGACAACTAGCTGTTTTGTCCTAATTTAGGACTATCTCATATCAGTACGTTTTCGCTATCGGGATTCTATCTTAAAACTTGAAACCAATCAAATACTTGGAAACTAACTCTTAAAAATCAGTATTCACATTTCAGTTTAAATAAGCTTTGCCACAAGAATTATGATATAGGGAATAATAAAAATAATTACGATATAGAATGGTGATAAATAGAATTCCATTATAGATAAGATTTTATTTTGACAAATTACAGTGTTGTTGCACAGTAATGTTAACTGATGACCACGTTTTGAGCACAAATTATTGCTACTCATAATCATATCAAGTCACTCACACAACTTTCTTGTTTCATTTATATACATGAGTGGAATTGATGATTAGACATTTGAATAAAAATCGATATAGGATAATGTATATTCAGAAATAATAATATGGGTGTTATCAATCAAATACAATCAGATGGGAAATAAGACGAGTGTTTTTATAGTCAAAATAAGTAACTTGTTAGAATGTTATAATGTATGTGAATCAGAATAGGATATTAAGATTATTTATTATCCTCCTCTGATTTAACTGGTAATAACATCTTCCATATCTCTGGTATTCGCATTGAGTTGTTTATGTTGCATGTGTTGGGTGTAGACTCGATGAACCAGGGGAAGGGGTGATAATTGTTACTTGTGTCTTTGTGTTCTGTTTATGTAATTGAAGAAATGTATGCATTGCAAATGCAGTGGAATGTTCGGATGTTACGCTCACACCAAATTTCTTTCTATTAGAGTGAATAAACATCACCTTTGCTTACTGGTTATATTTTTATCAGGCATATTTCATTACAGTGGGATGATGATTATATGGGGGAAGTATTACGAGCAGTAAATAAATTAAGATTACGATTGTTAGATTTTCGTCATGAACCAACATCAGTTAAGAGAGAGATCATTGAAAATCAGCTGGGAGCACTGCCTAGTTGTTTCGCTCTATCCTGAGACTCTTCGGCAGCGCTCATCCACCACCCTACTGGAGATCGTTTTCGGGACCTTCAGGTTACAAGAACAAGCTCGTGGACCATCCAGCCACTTGGGATGGAATTTAATGATTCTTGAATTCTAACTCATCATCATATAGGGCCGCACCCACTGTTACCCCAGATGGGCATCTACTTCATCTGAATATTATCAGTTGCCTGCTTATTCATAGCTACTGGATGGATTTCCTGGAGCTGCAGTGTGAAGTCGTGATCAATAGCGGTCCACCATATCAAGGTGAAGTTTCTGAGCGTGAATAACCAACGCTAGTTTTAATGTGTCATATAGGATTTGTATGACAATATTTCAGTTAGCGTAAATGTAGAACTTTGGCACTAGGGTAGAATGCAATTCCACATTATTTTATTAAGTTTATTTTAAATATCACACAGTGATGCGGTGTCGTTATGTTGAAATCTGAACAAATCCCTCATTTTTTTTTCACACATATAAACTCAATGGCAGACGGAATCCAATTCACTTCTGAGTTAGAAAACGACCAGGGTGAGTTGGCTATGCTAGACCGTAAAATAAAATAATAAAAAGCATTTATAGGAAACTGACACACTCTAATAAATACTTAGACTTTGATTCATCCCATCCAGAATCGGTGAAGATAGGTTTAGTTAAATGTCTGTATAATCAGGCCAAGAGGCTAACAAGTAGGCCAGAAGTTAGGCCGGAATTACGGTAACGTTTAAACTAACCAACTCTCTTTCTGAGGTAAACTTTGTCGGCTTAAGGACCCGATAGATCCAATTAAGAAAAATAATATAATTTACCACATATCATGTGATGACTGTGAGGTCAAACTAGTAGGTTGGGGACAGCTATATTATTGGAACATAAAAGTTTAGCTAGACCTAGAATAATTTATCCTTGAAACGTCTTCCGGTTGCTAGTACTGCATCATAACTGTGTGACATTGAAAATAAACTTATGTAATGTGGAATATTTCAGTTGTAACATCTGTGCAGTCTCAGTCTCAATCAGTCAGAGTTTATCTAATATATGTAGTGTAATAGAACGTTCGAGAGGGGTGAAACAAACAATAACTAAAAATAAAATTTCATTTACAAAATAATGGATACTGAACAAAGAATACTCTTTTCGATAACCCCTTCATCATCAGGCTCTACAGTTATAAATACACATAATAGTGAATGAATGAATTAGTGTTATGAACAACATTGATGTTGTTTAAATAACATCGAATCAGTAATAATGATATCAGAGGATTACAGTTCAATAGCATCAACATAAAATAAGCTGAATGTCAGCGAAATTAGGAAAGATAATAATACAAATTCATGAATTTATAGTCTCCACTGAAGGCCAGGGCAGTAGCAGTGGCTAGTTGGACTTGCTTCTTTTGCATACAAAGCACTGGTTGCTTCACGCGAATTGCGATAGCCTCTGTTGTTTTGGAGCATGCGGTGCTTCGATGTTTTTGGCAATTTATTAGGCACTTGGTAGATGACAGAGAAGGATTCTTCCACTCTGGCTGGCTTTGTGGCCGGTTTGCACCAGATGATCCAATATCGAACTGTTAATGGCTTTCATTACACCTTTACATAGCCATACTCGGCGATGTTCTCGAGCATGAAAAATCAAGTTCCTAGAGCAACGTCTAATATAACTCGCTCCACCACAAGCGCAGTTGAATTGGTAGATACAATTGGAAGTGGCTAGGCTAGGTACTTCATCTTTCACTTGAGGAATCACCATCGGTCGCGTAGAGAATAAAACGTGTAGTTTGCCAGCATTAAAAGTTCTTTGAACTGATTTTCTTAATTTCTTCGTAATTATTTCACTTGGTATATCGCCCTTGAATTGCAGTCGTACATAAAGAGGCTTCTTGTTTACGGATAACCAATTCATTCATTCACTACTATTATGTATATATAAATGTAGAGCCTGATGTTATCGAAAAGAGTATTCTTTGTTCAGTATCCATTCCGTTGTACATTTTAATGGGCATTTTTTAATCAGTTAAAATTTCATTTGTTAGTTTTCGTCACAAAGGATAAGTAAAGTTATTGCGTAAGTAGGAAAATTCAGTAAATTAATAACAGGTTCAACTCAGTGAGTAGTAATCACATGAAAGAAATTGTGACGCAAAGAAAAAGAAAATCAAAAACAAAGTAGAGACCTTTAATTACGAGAGTAGGGAAAAACTAATCGAACTGTTTTTCTGTATACAAGTATTAGGTTAATATCTTTTGATAGTAATAGCTTCTGAGGAGAAAAGCAGCCAGAATTTGCTTTGTATACTGATTATTTTGGAGGCTTGACTGATTTCGCGACTTTATGCCTCAGTATTAATCAGGTGCTTACCCATCGCACTTGTAAGGATTTTCTTACTTTTCATATGAAGATTGTTGAGGAAAGGCTCAGCAAACCTAGAAGATGCTCTCCTCAGTCCCTCCTGTGTACTTGCTAACCAAAGTGCATATAATTCGGTAAATTACAGTCGCAGTTGATAAGATTAGGATACTTATCCACTTTGGACTGTATTAGTGAGCTGTCAAAGTCAGTTAAGCCTTCGAATTAATCAATATACAAAAAAGTCTGGCTTCGTCGCTGCTCAGAAGCTGTTACTATTAAAAGGTTTTTATCGGGAAAGATAATGTGAGTCTAATCTCTCGCCCTACTTACTGTGATAGCTAGACGTTCAATCACTTCAAGTTACCGCCGTGGTTGTTAGATTATTATTAACTGTCTTGTATGCATATCACTACAACGCCCCTTGAGTTGAAATAATTCTTGAAGTGCCTTATAAAGTTTAGCATTTAGAATAACTTATGTCAATGTTTTTTGGGCTGTTAGCAGGTGATGAAAAGTCTTGAAATGAAAAAACCCCGGGCTCTTTTAATTCGGCAATTATATTTTCTTTTTTTATTTCGTTCTTTCACACACTAGCGAGACTAAATCTGTGTTCAAACTAATCATGAGAACTGGTTGTATACAACAAATTAATAAAGTTGGTGAGATAGCTAACAGAGGTGGAATTTAATTAGGGGGTGGGGTTGCGTAATAAGTCGTTTTACTGAATCATTTATTGTGTTTCTCACTTGTGAGATAAGCTTCTCCACAATTTTCTGATATGTTGTTTTGAGTTTTTCAACCGGACGACTACTGTGATTGTATGGTGTCTGTAAAATGACAGAAAGTTGCCTAGGGAAGACTGTAAAATAACGCTCTATGCATCTTTCATACATTTGGTTCCCTTGGTAAATTTCGATAGGGAAAGAAAAACCAGATTTGCAGTATACAATGATGTCGTCATTCTATTTCACAGGTTCTCATCAGCTGCACACCACCACCTGAAATTACAATGGTTATATAGATGATAATAACATACTTTAATGTTTCAGTGGTAGTAAGGAAGAAATTCTATAAAACTGATGCATCCAAAGTGTAAGCATTACAATTTTTAGTTTAAGTTTTCATCATCAATTTAAACGCTTTCAAAGTAGAAAAGAGGGGGGAGGGGTAAGACAGGAACGGTTGAAAAGTCCATC